AGGACTAAAGATGAACCTTGTACTCATTTAGGGGAGAGGAGGGAGCTCTTTTAAGATACCATAATGTGGGTATACCTGCTTTTAACTCCTTTGTATACAGAGCTGCAAGTATCTACTGTGCCCTCCTCTCTCCCCTTTTCTCTAGGGGATCCAGCCTGCCTCTCAGCCTCAAACTCCCTTCTGTAATATCTCCATCTGCCCCACAGACTTTTCATCATATATATACCACATTACTACAATGATTCGTAATGTAAACCAGGAAGACAGTTTTATAACTGGGTAGTCACAGCTTTGTGCGTGATATAAACACTGATAGCTTTTGTCCCCCACAGCCCTCCCTGCCCCTATCCCTGCAAGTTCTACCCACTTATCCCCTTGTCATCTTACTCCCCACCTCTCCCTGCTACCGCCACAAGAATGTTAGAATCCCTTTCTCTCTTCTTGAATTCCAGAGAAGGCTGGGATGTGTGTGTTTATGTATTGCTTTTGTGGTCTTTATGCTTCTATGCTCCCCCACTCCCTACCCTGGCCCCATGCTACCCTTCCAGATAAATTATAAATAAACCACTAGCATGATTGGCCCACAGAGACTAAGGGTGGGATAATCTCCTGATTAACGCACCCAGGGGGACAGCCTCTCTAGCCGGTTACCTTAGAGTTCTGTTTCCATCCCGTGGTACAGAAGAACCTAGAATAACACTCAGAGTGGGTTGTCCATGGAGTTTTCAGCACATGCTCTCTCTGCATCTCCGTTCTGTGTAAGCCCCAGAAACTCTGCACATAAGAGGTCTAAGAGACCAGTGTTCTCCTGCTTTATCAGAAAAGGAGTTTGGAAAGACAACATAGGGGGGAAAAAAGCCACAGTGACAGTGCATTCTGATGGCTAGACAGGATGCAGGTCGCACAGGGCTTGGGGGGCGGGGGGGGGGCGGGGGGGAGAAGTAGTGACAGGCTAGGCATTTGCCCCTCAGAAACCAACAGAGTCTCTGTTTCCTGGGTATGACTGCAAGGTTGCAAAGCCCCCCTGGCCCAACCCGGCTACCCGAGCTATGGTCCCAAGGCTCAAAATCCAGGAAGGCCAAGGGGGAGGAGAGTACTTGGGTACTGTGTTCACCCAGGAGCACGACTCCCACTGATGTGCCACACAGCCAGAACACCAAAACGCAGGCGTTCTCACCGCCAGCCCAGCTCTGCTGGCCCTGGACTCAGCGACCATGCAGCTCACAAGCTGCAAAAGGACCCAGGTGTCCAGGGTTCAAATTTGACCAGCTCCAGCCTGCCCCAGGGGCCCCTTCAAACATCTGTCACAGAAGAACCTCTCCAGCCAGTTACTCTTGCCAGGCCTCAGGTCTGGCTCCAGGGCTCACCCCACCCTCCACAGCTCCTTTCCCTCCCTCTTCCTTCCTTTCCTTCCCCACCCCCCACCCCTCCCCAGAGCTTCACCTACCCAGGACAGCCCCACCCAGCTGTGCAGGGCACATCCCATAATAATCCTTCTCCTTGCTAGCCCCCACCCCCCCCCAAAAAAAGAGAGGCGGCCATCCCATAATAGCCACCCACAAGAGACATTCCGCGGTGACCGCCCCCTCCCTGCAGAGCTGCCTGGAGCAGCCATCCCATAATAGCTGGCCGCCTGTTTTACTGGTTACGGCTGTGGAGGGAGCTGGAGAGGAAATGGAGGGGAGGGGGGAGGGGAAGAGGATCAAGGGCCCCCACTTTGTGGAGGAAGAAGAGGGAGGAGAGTGGCCCAAGGGGATAGGAAGCCAAGGGGACACCGTGCAGGTGGGAGGTGTGGTCCACTGGCCACCACAGCCCTGCTTTGGGGCTTGCTCCCCATTCTCCAGGGGCTGCCTTTCCCCCTGAGCACCCTGGAGGTGTCTGCTAGTCAGGGGAGATGCCTAGGATGGGTTGAGGTGCTCAAAGTGTGTGCGTGTGTAGGGGGGGTGCATTTCAGGTGTTCCCCTTGGACCGTTTGAGAGAGAAGGCAGACCTTAGAGTGGATGGAAAGAGAGTAAGGGGTGGGGGGGCTGGAGAAGAGCTCCTCAGGCCCTCCCCATTCTGCACCACCATCCCATAATAATCCCCCCAGCCCCACTCCCCCTCCCACACACGACATCCCATAATATCTTCTGGAGAAGCAGTCCCCGCAGTAGGTACAAAGAGCTATCCCATAATATGCTCCCCCACCCCCACTCGCCACCCCCCCAACTTGGCCCCCCCCTCAGTCACATGCAGCCGGTGCCATCCCCCGCTGCTCCCCCCTCTGGCCACCGAAGGCCTTGCCAGCCCATAATACTCTTGCCTCTGGTCGCAGGAGGCCTCCAGCCCATAATATTCCCTTCCACCACCACCCCCCCTTCCCGCCCCGCACCCCTTCCTCCCGCCTCCAGTTGGATCCGGGCCTCACCAGCCCATAATATTCCCCAGTCTCCTAAGGCTGTTCCAGCCCATAATACTCTCCCTGTCTCCTAAGGCCTCTCCATCCCATAATACTGCCAGACGCCTGACCTGTGGGCCAAACCCCAGCCCGTTCCACACATCGAGGCTGTGTCAGCGCCGCTGGTCTCCCTCCCTGTCCCTCCCTCCTCCCTCCTCGGCGCTTTCCCTCCCGGGCTCTCTCCCGCCCTCCTGCCCTAGGCCCCTCTCCGGGCCCCACCCTGTGCCTGCCTGGGCCCTTACTTCCCCTCCAGCCTCCTCTCTTGCCCTTTCTCCTTTGCTTGGTTCTTCGTCCCATGCCCCCTCTCCTCTCCCTTTCAGGCACTTTTCTACCCGAGACTCCTCTGTCTGTGGGATGGACATTATTAGGCCTAGTGGGGAGAGAGTGCCCCCAGAGGGCAACAGGCCAGTCACTGCCCCTGGAAACTGTCTACTTGACCTAGCGCCATGGAAACTTGCCCAGCCTGCCTTGCCCACCCATCCCCTGGCCCTAGTTCTGATTGCTGGCAGAGCTCTGTCTGAGGATTCACCTTGGAGCCCTTGCTGCCTTCCAGAAACACTCCCCTTGGGCATCACAAACAGACTTTACCAATAGCATCTCCTCCCCACACTCCTGTTGAAAAGAGAGCTCCCCCTTACGGGATTTCTCTCAGGTGCCCTTCAAAGGTGATCTCATGGATCTCTCAACAACCCAACAAGTAGATACTATGATCCCCATTTCACAGAGGAGAAAAACAGAGGTTCAGAGTGTTTAAGTGTCTTGCTAAAGTCACATTGTCAAGAAGTGACAGAGCTGAAATTAGTACCACCTAGGTTGGTTCGATTCTGAAGTTCTGAGAGCCTTTGTGTTCCCCAAGGCCTGTGTGAGAAACTGTACTTTTCAGTGCTATCTCCTCTGGAAAGGATATGGCACGGTGACCACCCAGCCTCCCTCTGTCTCAGGGTCTCCTAAGAGTGAAGAAGAAAGTCCATGTTGTGAGATTAAACACCCCCCCCCCCCCATTTCCTCCATGGGACCCCAGGTGGCAACCCAGTAGGAATTTTCCTCAAGATCGTTCAGGGCTGAGAGAGAAGCCTCTCTGCCCCTTTGGTACCCCTTACCTTGGCTGTGATTCTCCTGAATTTGTTTTATTTCAAGACCAATGATTGTGTGTCTACTCCCACCTACTCTCACCCTGTGGAGGGACCATCCAACAGAGGAGGCCGACTTTGAGGAGAACCAGGGGGAGGTCCCCTCTTCAGCTTAGTTGGCAGGCAATCAAGAGTGCTGCCTTGGAGATGTTGGGTACCTCCTGGCTGGGGGAGGGGAGTCATGGCCATCCTGCCTGGGTGTTCCACCAACTTGCTACTCCCTTCTGAAGCCTCGATGGGACGTATCTCAGGGCTCAGCACAACTGGAACCCTGAACGAGTCCAGTTCTCTGCACTGACACAGCCGTGTTGTGTTCTGCACAGGAATCTGAGGCAAGGGGAGGGGGAGGGGGAGGGGGAAGGTGTGCTGGAGGGTGAGTGGGTTGGGAGCAGGGAGGAAGTAGTGGGAAGAGGGAGCAGAGATGATACAGCAGATTCAGGGGGAGAGAAGTCATCAAGAGAGGTGGCCTGCATGAGGAGGGAAGGAGGAGTAAGGAACCCAGGGAGGGTGGATGTGACAGAGCCATGAGAAGGTGGGAAGCCCGAGAAAGGGGAGAGACAGTGGAATGTACTGCAAAGAGTAGGAGTTTGGGAGCCAAATGGATACTGTGCCTCTTCCTGGGTGTGTGACCTTCAGACTGAAGCTTCTTTAGGACGTTTTGTTTGTAAAATGGGGATAATAATCGTCCCTAACTCACAGGGTTATTATAATTCTCAATCACTAAATAATAATATAATAACAAGCACTACACTGGGATCCTCGCAAGTATTTTTAAAACTTGTTAATGCTCCTCTCTCTCCACCTAGGATGTTCTCATTTTCCTCATTTGGACTTTCCTAAACCTCAAAAAGGGTGACTCTAGGACGTGGGGTGAGGGCTCTCTCTGGATTTCCCCATGTGTCGCCTCCATCCTACTGCGCACTCAGTAATTGGAGAATTCTGTGACAATGGCAGTGGCTACGGGTCTTCTTAAACTTCCCCAGCCTGTCACTTGTCAGGTTCTTCTGTTCATCCCTCCTCTGCCTGCCATGTCTCCTTAATCTAGTCTTGCGTCTCTGTACTCATGATAGAAACTCTTTGGATGTGCTGAATATGGGGAAACAGTCCACCAGAACTTAGACACCTGAGATTTCACACTGGAGAGGACCCATTTCCATCCACCTCCACAGGCTATGGTCACACTTCGACAATTTTAACAGCAGTCTGACCTGTCTTCCTTTCCCTTTAGATTCCCCTCCTCACTTCCCTACAATTTATCCCACACTGTTTGCCAGAATGAGCAAAACCCCACTCAGGAACCTTTACGGGCTTCCCACTGCCAACTAAATTAACTGCCAACACCTGACTCCCCATTCTTGAATCTTGTATTTTGAATGGTAGTTATTGACTTGTCTGTGCTCCCCCACTAGATACTAAACTACTCCACACCAAAATTCAACTGTTTATCATTCAACAAGTATTTATTGAGCACTTTTTTTGTTCCAGGAGCTGTTCTAGATGCTGGAGATACATCAAAGAACCAAGCAAACCAAAATCCCTGCCTCCAGGGACTTTACATCATACCTGGGGGGGGCGCGGGGCCGGGGAAACAGACAAGAAATTATAAAAATTATAAAAATAAATAAGTAAATTATGTAGAATGTTAGAAGATGCTTGCTATGTGAATTTTTGGTACTTTGGATTCCATTCACATATCAGAATATAAAAATACTCAAGTAATTTTTAACAACTGTGTTCAATCCAGTTCGGTTGGGTAGGGCAAAGTTCTGAGACTTTGGAATACAACCACGTGTGATGCTCCCAGGGCTGGGAGGGCATGGGTCTTGAGCCCTAAGGATGAAGCAAGATGAGTCAGGTGCTAACCATCAGGCCTCTTCTAGAGCAACCAGAGGGCCTGGTCCAGGGCTGTATCTTCGCACCTGATGGTGGAAGGCTCTACTTGAAAGCTATCACTGAGGAATCTGGGTCACTTCTCTGCTTTGGCCACCAGGGGTCATTTTACCCCTGTAAATCACCATCTGAAGCACTCGCTTAAAGACACACAAAAGGCTTGCTCCAAACTAAAACACACAGAGACACACACAGGAAAACCCTGACACTGTCTTTCTGTCTCTCTCAATCTCTTTCTATCTCTCTCTCTCCGTCTCTCTTTCCCCCCTCCCACACACAGAAACATACATCATTGAGAGACACAGAGACAGAAATGCATACAGGACACACGCATGGCAGCAACTTCCTCAGTTACACAGAGTCTCAAGATGCCAACTCTGCAACCCCTCCCAGCCCAACTCCTGTAAAGAGGGAAGAAAACAGTAGGTGGCCCATGAACCAGTCTTCCATGTCCCTTGCCTCCAGCTTGCAAAGAACAGCCAGCCTATTCCTGTCCTCCCATTGCACTCTTTTTTCGCTGGAAAGTTCTTTCCTGGCTGTGGCAATAGTTCCTTTTTCCCTTCCCAGGGAGAGAGGAGCCCTGCCCCTCCTCAGAGTGTTTGTGTGACTAGTTCACCCCCACCTCAGGGCTGCCACTCCAGGAAGTCCAGGGTGGTGTTACACTGGGTGTGCAACTCCCACCTACCCCCTGCAAACCCTCAAGCCTTCTGGACTACAATTAGCAATTGATTTGCCCAAGTATTGCCCTGTCCCTGGTAGTAATAAAAAATAATGTATGTATATGCCCTGGGAAGAAGTTACACGTGAGCTCTAATACTGGCTCTTTAAGGATGTCCACAAGGTCAAAGTTATTTTTGGAATCCTGCTTCTCCCACCATGTCATTTGTTCTTTGCATTCTCATCTCTCACAGGTATACAGTGGAGTTTTCCAGAGGCTTCATGAAATGTGATGACATTATTGCTCTCACAGCTAATGGAAAGTGTGCTTGTGTGTTTCTGTCGTTAACACTCGTGAGTTCTAATTTCTGTTATGGTTAAGTCTCAAAAGAATAAAGTGCAAGCAAAAGCCCTTTGGAATCCTTGAGTTGTTAAAGGGTCTGGGAACAAAGTTTAAGAACTGCTACTTTAGTACAAAGAATTTTCTCCTTAATTCTAGATGATGCACCAGAGGCAGAGAGAGAGAATTTAGGACCTAGAGTGGAGGCAGTCTCAAAAGCGGTGTGGAGTGGACAGAGACAGGTGAAAAGGGCTACAGGGACTGGATCTGGGGAAAAAAATACCCTCCAACACACAGTTTTGTCCTGCCCCCAACCACCCCACTTTGGGTGCCAGGTCCAAATTGTTACAAGTCACTAACCAACAAGGAAACCAATTCTGTCTGTATCCATTAAACTCCGTATCGTTGAGTTTACTCGGCAAGGGAAGTTCTGGGCAAGGGAAGCCCAGGTGGAAATGAGGGTGGGTGGCACCTGAGGTCCTAAGACTACTGTGATGGCTGTAAATCCAGGACACCCACTTTCTGCTCCATCTCCCAGCTCTCAAGAGTGTTTCATGACCACGCCAAGGGCATGCCATCCAGTCATCTGCCTCTGCATTGGGAAAGCTCACAGCTTCACTTCCTAGGGACTGGGGAAGGGGTCCGCCTCAGGCTCACCATCACCACCAAATTAAAGAAGGCCATTAGCACAGCGCTCCTCCTTCCCAGGCTCCCCACACTTTGTTCTTTTCTGCATTTCTGGGCGGGAGTTGCCTTCCAGAAGTCCCAAGTGCCCAATCCACTTCCCTCGTGTACACACCCTAATGCATGTCAGCGGCGAGGGGGTGAGAGGTGGGGGTGACAGAGTGATGGCATGATGTGCTGTCAGAGGGCCGAATCCTCGGGGAGCTGGGTTAAGGGTGTCCCCACGTTGGAGGGCCTGAGCAGCCCCTGTTCGGCGGTAGCCGGGGTGGTGATGCAAGTGGTCTCAGTGGGCTGTTCGGCGAGCGCCCCCTGAGCCCCGTTGGTGGCCAAGGTCCTGGCGCGGTTCGGAGTGCCCAGGCCTCGCAGGGTGTTGCGGAAACCCTCGGCGCTGAAGTAATACACCAGAGGGTCTAGCACGCAGTTGGCGCCGGCCAACAGCACCATCACCATCAGCACCCCGCGCACCCGATCGCAGACCTTGCTGTTCGCCGCCACCAGGTTGCCCCGCAGCAGCCCGTACACCGCCAGCGTGGCGTTGTAGGGCACGAAGCACAGCAGGAAGATGACGAGGTTGGCCAGCAGGAGGCGCACGGTCTTCCGCCGCCGCTGGCTCTGCGTGGCGTCGGGCCGCGCCAGGGTCCAGAAGACCCGGCCCGACGAGTAGAGCACCGCCACCAGGGGCAGCAGGAAGCCCAGCGCCTCGGCCAGCAGCACGAGCGGCAGCAGCCCGCCCTTCCACAGCCTGTCGCCGAAGCTCTCGAAGCACAGGCGCACCTGGCCGCCGCCGTAGCTGCAGGACGAGGGCCTGTGCACCAGGACGGTGGGCACGGCGAACACGAGGATGAGCGCCCACACTCCCAGGCAGAGCAGCCGCGCCACGCGGGGCCGCCGCAGGTGGCGCAGCCGCAGCGGGTGCACGATGGCCGCGTAGCGGTCCACGTTGATGAGAGTCAGGAAGATGCAGCTGCCGTACATGTTCGTCTGGAAGATGGCGCCCGCTGTCTGGCACAGGAGGTCGGAGAAGGGCCAGTAGTGCAGGGCGTAGTAGGAGATGCGCACGGGCAGCGAGAGGGTGAAGAGCAGGTCGCTGGCCGCCAGGTTGCACATGTACACGCTCACGACGGAGTGCACGCGCAGCGCGCGCAGGAAGACCCAGAGGGCCAGCGCGTTGAGGGGGAGCCCTGCGGCCAGCACCAGGCTGTAGGCCACCATGTGCAGGCGGTGGGTGGGCCGGTAGTCGGGGCACGGGGGAACAGAACCGTTGGCAGGGGGAACAGAACTGTTGGTAGAGTTGGGCAACATCGTACCGAAGTGTCGGGAGGAGCTAGGCTGGGGGCATCATGAGGCACACTAGGACCCTGGCATCGCGTTCATCTCCAGGGCGGGGGCCTGGAGGCCACACAGAGAGAGAGCCCCAAAGCAAGCAGGGCATGGGAATGTGGGCTATGGCTGCGGAGCAGATGACTGCCAGGGGTTGGATGCTTTGGGTCACGGCTTCATCAGCAGTGGAGACCTGGAATAGCAAGGGAAGCCAAAGTCAAGAGTATGCAAAGACAGGGTAGAAGTCACAAATGTTTATCTAGCTAACTTGGCTGGCCTCTTGGGTCTTTCCCCCACCTTCCATCCGGCCAGAATAGCTTTCTGCAGGAAGGCTGTGTAGCACAGTGTTAAATGCCCAGGCTCTGGAATCAGACTGCCAGGGTTTAAATCCTGGTTTTGCCAGCTTGCCTAGCTTTGTCCTCAGAAAGGTGACTTAATCTCTCATTTTCCTTACCTGGGGGGAAAAAAGAGGGGGTCCCTTACGTCATGAGGTTGTTAGATGAAATGAGATATGTGTAAAGTGCACAGGTTGCTGTTATTATCAAATAACATTGCTCCCTTCCTTTCTGTCTTCTACAGATGTTTACTGAGCCTTTAGAAGGTTCCAGGCATGTTCAAAGCACTGAACAAAATGAAGGCCTTGCTTGCCCCCATCTGCCTTACATTCCATTGAGGGGAGACAAATAATAAAGTGCAAGTAAATAGGTATTATGTCAGATGGTGAAGAATTATGATGGAGCACCTCCCCTGGAACTCCCCAGCTCTGCTGTCTCCCAGTTATCTAAAGAATAAAGTTCAAACTCCCCAGTGCAGTACAAAATCCTGAGCCTCACTCATTACATCACAGTTGCTCCTGTGTACGCTGGGTTTGTGGTCAGAGGTTCAGCTTGTGTGACCTCTGTCAGTTTTTTCATCCGTAAACTGGGGATAATAACACAAAGGGCTCTCAAAGGCGGATCGCACATCAGCATGGTCCTGCCAGGCAGGGGAAGGTTGTACTTTTCCAAGTGTTCCCTGGAGGATCTGACTAGGGAGCTTCCCAAATGGGGTCTGTGATGGATGGATGTTTGTTTTTGTTTTTGTTTTTGTTTTTTTTGGGGGGGTTGTTTAAGTTTATTTTATCTTTGAGAGAGAGAGAGAGAGAGAAAGAGGGAGAGAGCAAGTAGGGGAGGGGCAGAGAGCGAGACAGAGGATCTGAAGCAGGCAGAGAGCAGCAGAGCCCAGTGTGGGGCTCAAACTCATGAACTGCGAGATCATGACCTGAGCTGAAGTCAGACACTTAGCCAACTGAGCCACACAGGTGCCCCAGAAGGTGTTGTTTTAATGAGGGTTCAGAGGGGACCCTAAGTCCAGAAAGCGTGACAGTGGGGCGAGGAGGTACCGAGGGCATTGCCGAGGCTGCTGGAGAGAGCAGACCACAGCAGCCACAGTGCTCAGGCAAAAAGCTGGTGGACAACGGATATGGCCAGGAGGTAGAGGAGTCAGAGGGACAGGAGATGGTCACAGGATCCCACCCTCCTTAATGTCCTAATGCCACAGAAGCTACTCCTCTCTCTTTAACGCCCAAATGCCATCTTTTGGGCGGGGGGCTGAAATACACAGAACTTCAAAATTACCATTTTAACTGTCTTTAAGTATACAATTCAGTGACATTAAGTACACTCACAATGATGCGTGATCGTCACTGCTACTTCCAGAACTTTTTCATCATCCCAAACCACTCTATACCCATTAAATAATAACTGCCTATTCTCTCCCCACACTCTCTCCAGCTCCCGGTAACTTCTATTCTACTTTCTGTCTCCAGGAATTTGCCTACTCTATTTGAATTAGTGTTTTCATTTTCTTTGGGTAAATACCCAGCAGTGGAATTACTGGATTATACGGTAAATTATTTTTAATTACTTGAGGAACCTCCATATTCTTTTCCAGAGTGGCTGGACCAATTTACATTCCCACTAACAATGCAAGAGGGTTCCTTTTTCCCCACGTTCTCGCCAGAATTTCTTATTTCTTGTCTTTTTGATACCAGCCATTCTGACAAATGTAAGGTGATATCACATTGTTTTGAGATTGACTTGCATTTCCCTGATGATGAGCGACGTGGAGCATCTTTTCATGTGTCCACTGGCCATCCGTATGTCTTCTTTGGAAACGTGTCTACTCAGGTCCTCTGCCCATTTTTAAAAATAGATTACTTGGTATTTTGGTGTTGAATTTGCCTGTCCTAGGTTCCTCGTATGAGTGGAATCATATAGTATCTGTCCTTTTCTGTCTGGTTTATTTCACTTCACATAAAGTTTTCAAAGTCCATCCATGTTGTAGTATGTATCAGAATTGCAATCTTTTTTTTTATAGCGGAATAATATATGCATAAATTGTTTTTAATCTATTCATCTGGCAATGGTTACTTGGAATTTTATACGTTTTGGCTATTGTGAATAATGCTGTGAACGTGGGGTCCACATGCCATCTGAGGGAGCAGGGTCATCTGGAGACCCTGAGCAATTATTCCAAGATACTGGATTTATTCCTTTCAAAAGAAACTGCTTAAATTCTTTTTTTTTAAAGATTTTATTTTTAAGTAATCTCTACACCCAACCTGGGCTCAAACTCACAACCCCGAGATCAAGAGTCTCCTGCTCCACCAACTGAGCCAACCACGAGCCCTGGAACTGCTTAACTTCCTGCATGGAACCAAGTTTTAAACCTGACTCTAAGAGTTTTCTTGTGGGTTTTTTGCTCATTTGTTCTCCCCCCAACTACGACTACCAGCAGTTTAAGACTTGTGAGAGGTCTCGTAGAATAAAGGAAATAAACGTTTCCTCTGCAAAATACCCATTTCAACAATGAAAATAATACTACAGGGGGATGAAACACACAGAAAGTCAATGAAATGAGACTCTTTCCCTGACCCATGGGGCCCCCCCCCCCCCCCATGCTTCTTTGCTCCGGTCACACCAAGCTAATGATAATTGGGCACATGCCTTTTGCACGTGCTCTGCCTCCCATTCCCCAGCTGGCAAAGTCAATCACTTCTTAGGACTCCGGAAAGCCTTGCCTGACTCCCTCCCTCCCCACAGGGCAGCTGTAGTTCCCTCACAGGTGCTTCCACTCTGCGCATGGGTTTCCCTTGGGTGTCCCACCTGTATTGTAATTAGCTGTTCTTGGTCTGCCCCTCCCACTAGACTGTGAGCTCTTGGAGGGAGGGGCTGCGGACTGGGACTTAGTCATCGTTGTAGTCCGAGCCACTACCTCAATACATGTTGTGTGAAAATTGTTAGCGATCACTTACTGACCATCCGCCACATCCCGGGGTATTTTAGGCGCCTCGTCTTTATTCCTTCCAACAGTCCTTTGACTGTTCATCCTGATTTTTATGGGAAAGGAAACAGAAGCTCTAGAGCTCCGGTTGGCATTCAAACTCAGGATTCCAACCCAGCTCCAAGCTGCCCCGCTGCTTGCAACAAGAGTGGATGGTTGGATGTGAGGACGCATGTTGCACGGAGCACTTGGTCTCTTAGCCCATTAGAAATCTGCGCCCATAGGGGCGCCCAGGGGGCTCAGCCGGCAGAGGGTCCAACTTCAGCTCAGGTCATGCTCTCGCAGTTCGTGGGTTTGAGCCCCAAGTCGGGCTCGCTGCTGTCAGCGCAAGAGCCCGCTTCGGATCCTCTGTCCTCCTCTCTCTCTCTGCCTCCTTCCCTGCTCATGCTGTCTCTCTAAAAATGAATAAACATTAAAAAGAAAAAGAAAAAAGAAATCTGTGCCCACAAATAAATTGTGTTTACTTCCTTATTTGCCCAGGTACAATATATACTTTTTAATAGCCCACTTTTTCTCGACTTTCAAACACTGGTAACAGAGTCCTCTTGTTTTCACGCACACACACAAGTGTGCCCCTCCTTAGGATGTCCTCTTACCTACTTAAGCACTTAGTTTGCTGCCTTGAACTCCTCCCATTGTTTTATGTGTGTTTATTTGATTCCATTATCCCCACCTAGATGGTAAGGTCATTGGGTGGGGCCCTATCTTCCATCGCTTTATTCCCAAGCTCACTCACACTTCAGTCTCTGCTTAGCAGGCCCTTGTGACATTCATTGGCCCCCTGGAAGGAAATCTGCCCCCACCCCCAATGTCCACCCATCCTGTAATCTTGCTGCAATATCTTTTGTATCAATCAGTCAACCGCTTATCACACTCCTATCTTGTCCAGGTGTCTAACTCACTTAGTAAAGGACCATGTCCCCTAAAAGGCCTGTTCAGGAACAGCCTGCATTAAAATTTCAAAAACAGTTTACACTATAACTACAGTAACACTTTATCATTCTGAACCATTGCTTGAAGAATCAATAGCTTCTTACAACTGGGAGGCACATGCCTGACAATGAATGAGTGAATGAGTAATTATTTTCCAAGAATCCCAAGTATTTCTGTCAATAAAGTTACAATGTTAAAGAGACCATAAGGTACTAGGTGAGCTTCTGCTTAAAGGTACAGTTAGAGGGGTGCCTGGGTGGCTCAGTTGGTTAAGCTACCAACTTCGGCTCAGGTCATGATGTCATGATCTCGCAGTTTGTGGGTTCAAGCCCTGCGTCGGGCTCTGTGCTGACAGCTCAGAGCCTGGAGCCTACTTCATATTCTATGTCTCCCCCTCTCTCTACGCCTCCCCTGCTCACACTCTGTGTCTCTCTGTCTCTCAATAATAAATAAACATTAAAAAATTAAAATAAAATAAAGGTACAGTTAGAGACCCATCAAGCAGATGGTTATGCCTTCATTACTGAATTCCAAAGTGGAGAAGTCCTTTCTGTCAAAAAGTCACCCCTTTCTAACAGACACACACACAATGGCCCAAGCTGGGTGTTGAGAGGCTGCCAGGCCCTGCCCTGGTCCCCACCCCATCTGCCTGCTTCCCTGGGGCTCCTGTCAGTGGAGCTGAATGGGCACAGTGCCAGGCCAGATGGCAAAGATGGGAAAAACTGCCAAAAAGAAGGCAAACAGGAAATGGA